TGAACAAATAGTTAAATACAGCCTAAACAACAACAATGATAATAACTTCCAGATTCCATTAGCACTAGTTTAAGTTATATTACAAAAGATGGCAAGTGAGAACCACAGTATGTACGTTGCCTCGTATCCAAACAACTTGGTTGCACTGCCTTTCCTTTGGGAACCAATACCAATGGTTCCAATGACAAAGAAATAGGCCATGTCATGAGTTGGGATTCAATCAAAGACGACCGACACAGGTGCTCTATGATAGGTTGGTTAAGCCTTGCGAACAATTATGCGTCTCTCTCTCTTGTACTCCAATTCATCTCTCTGGTGCATAGTCAGCAGGGCTCTTCTTATCTGCATTACATTTCACTTAAAATTAGTCTGTTTACTTTTGGCATGCTATTGTATGACAATGCTTATCTCTACATCCACCCCTGATTAAGCTCAAACAAGGTTGAGGAAATCCTGGTTACTTATCCAACATTGAAAATTTTGAAAACATATGATGATGGTATGATGAGCAGACTTGTAGTTTTTATTATCAAAGGCTTCTCATGAACTATACGACATAAGTACTAATATGAAAATCTATTTTGCCAGTCACTTACAATAGACTCGCTCATTCCCATTCGTGTGAGTTCATCGATGAGCCGCCTCTCTGACATAATGCTTCCAATTCCCATTCTCCTCCTTATCTGGGTCTCCACTTGCTATTTGCATAATCCCCCGAAAAGCCAAAAGTAATTGAAATAAGCATTAATATGTTGGGCTTCCATTGACAATTTAGTTTTATAAAGAAATGATGTTTGATAGGGCTCTGATTGGGCAAATGTGAACCTGTATCTCTTTTCTCATCTCATCAGTAGGTTCACTGATTCCAGATCGTGCTGCATCCATTGTGGAAACATTGAAGAGTCGGAGAGCTTCCGCCACATGTTCCTCTGTTGCCTCAGAGGATCTGTATTTTCAAATCGAAAAATAAAGGGCATAGAGTAATTGATGTAGAGAACATACATATATTTGGTCATAGGGAAGTATCCTATGGTCCAATGGACTACGAAACATATACCATTGGGGTCATAACCTTCTGTGATGGCAATGATGGATAGAGAATTGGACACACCATAAGATCATGTCCAGTTATAGTACATCTCTCCATCACCATCAACTATCTCACCAGGCAGTGATAGATCCAATGGATTATGCTTTCCATCATTCACTGGACCATACGACATTTTTCCTTTATGGCCATGCCACGAATAAGTTTAGTTGGATTGGGAAGAACCTTTACCAAGTTTTAAGTGAGCAAACATGAAAATAAATTACTTACCCAAAAATAAATAAATAAATTATCTATTTGAACCAACAATTTTTCTAGAAATTCTTGGAGGAAAGAAAACTTTCTACATAACCCTTAAAGCCTCCAGAAGTATAGCAAACAACTTCACTTTAACAGAAAAGCAAGATCAAACATCTCAACCTTAAAACCCAAAATCTAAGTTGATTTTTAAAAACCTAAGCTGTGTAGATGGAAAGGTAAAACACAATAAAATAAAAACCATTACATCACCAATCAGTGGAGGTACAATATATCTTAGGCTTTTAGAACTCATAAGTGGTCAAATTTAAAAACTCAGAACTCTAGTGGAACCATCACTTACAGTCTCATCTTTGCAAGGGACTCGCTTATCCTAATTATAGCCTCCAACTGCCTCACAGTAATTGGTATTGGGGCAGCTGCACCAGCTTCATGAGCTTGTTGCCTTATTTTCTGGAAACAAGAGTATATCCCAGACTGTAAAGAGCTCTCAAATCGTAGCATGCAATAGAAAAAACAATACTCACTTGTCTAATTTCTAAATACTTGTTCTGCAACATGCTCGCAGCAGCATCAGATAACCTAGGCTTGCAAAACATGCGACAGTACTGGATGAATCTGCAGATAAAGAAATTTATAAGAGGGTTTCCTTTTTGTCTATTGATAAACTTTCAAAGAGTTATAATATAAACTCATTAAACTGTTAAAGAGTTAATAGAATTATTAGAAAATCTCCCCCCCCTTCCCTCAGTGACAAACACAGTAGAAAATTGACAAGATTTACATTGAATGATGATACAATGTATAAAATTTATGAGATTTACATAATATGATGAATATATACTAAAGTGAGATACCTCTTCAGCCAGTTATCCTTGTCTGAGACATCGGATTCCTTAGTGGCCATACCAGCACCCGCATGGACTTTTATTATATGACTAGCTATGAGCTGAAACAGTAGAGCCTGAATCAGCAACAAAATAGAACAAGAGGAAATTATCCTGACTAGCAAAATGTGGATAAATTTTGATACCTTATCTTGGTCATACTTTCTGACATCCTTCACAATGAAGATTAAGTCAAAGCGGGATAGAATAGTTGTCTGCAAATCGATGTTGTCCTGTGCAGACTGATAAGAGAGAAGTACACTCAGTAATCAAGTGCAACTGTGTGAGTGTCTAGAGAGAGAGAGAGAGAGAGAGAGAGAGAGAGAGAGAGAGAGAGAGAGGAGGAGGAGGGAGGGAGGGAGGAGGAGAGAGAGATAAACGAAGTAAAGAAAGAAAGAAAGAAAAGAAAGTAAGTACGTATACGTAGTAGTACGTAGTAACGTAACTAACTA